TTTTTTGTTGAGTATCATATTTGATCCATCAGGCTTTTATGGCTCATATAGTAATAATATGGAGGGGAAAAACAGCTCAATTTTAATGGATGAAAAAAAAAAAGCTGTTTTATTCAGAGACTCAACTATGCAATTTGGTGCAGATGCTGATATTTTTATATGATGAAATTCTGCTGCTTGTAATGTAAATCAATGAGATCTTTATAACAGTACAGCAGATACTGACATAAAGTGATCTAAATATCAGTCGTCTCTATATCTGCAGTCTTAGTAAGATGAGAGTGAAATGCTCCAAACATATAGCGCAGTGATTGAGAGCTGAAGAAATAAAGGCTCCTCAGAAGATGACTAAAAGAGCTTTGACTGGATAAAAACACAAAAATATCAGTCAGAGACTGAAGAGATGGAGTAGATTGAGTGTGACATTGAACAGCAAAGCTTGATTATTTAGAGGCCTTAGAAATTCAGTAGTCTTTATAGGGTTAATAATGCATTAACATTTATTCACTGCAAAAAGCTTAACTTGTTGAACACATAACATTCCTTTTAATGACGTAAAAAGACTGAAAATGATAAATCCAGACGCTCAAACATGCGTTTGGTTCTGAGTGATGATAAACACATGTGAAGTTTCACAATGACCGTCTGTCAGACATCAGACACAGAAAGAGGAAGTCTGGAAAGGCAAATCTCACACTGTGGACTCAAAGCAACACACCTTCCCATATAAACGGCTCGCTTCGGTTCATTGTGTATTGTTCATCTCTGATGCATGTAAAAGTCATACAGAACAGAAGCCGGTTAAACGAGATGCATTAAAGTTTGTTTGTGTTAATAATAAGATAACTGTTTTATACAGATAAAAGACAAAAAGTGAAGGCTTACTGTTTAAACAACTGATGTGAACTATTAAAAATGGTTTAAGTTGACCACCAAAGTGACTTAAATACAAACAAAACTTTTCATAAATACTGGATTATATTATCACTGCATTGGATGAACTATTCCTTTAAAGACCTACAGCACTAGTCAGCACGCGCGGTTAAAGAGCAACTGCTCAAACACACTGGTGAAGAGCATTAGGTGAGCATGTGTACCGATGTACCCAACTCTTGACCAAAAACAAACCACCAAGTTTATTTACGTCCCACATCTAAAGCCAGAGAACATTGGACACTTGACAGCTGCTGCTTCCTCATTTGCATAAATAAATACAATGTTTAAACAGTAGATCAGTCCTGAATAAATCCATTGATGGTGTCTGAACATGCTTTTGCATGTGTGGTTGAGTTATCAGCTCTCTAAATGACATTACATGACTTTCATATCCTAGTGCAACCTAATTTTTTAGCAGCCAATACTGCTGTACGTGTATATATATATGCGTGCATTGCATAAAAGCATGTACAATGCATAGTAAGTCATTATTGGTTGAATCTTACCTGTTGAACTCATAAATGTGTTCAATATTCCTAAAGTGCAAAGACCTGCAACACATTCAAGAACCCAAAGGCACTCCGATTTCAAATTCCCAGACAATCCTGGAAACATATGACATCAGTTTCTGACTTCCAACGCAGCTGAGAGAAACACATGGCTCACCAGAGCCCAATTATGAGCCTTATTTAAGACCCTTCAGAATGCTCCCTCAGACCCATAATGCACCTCATAACGAAGTAAAAGGCACTTTCAAACAGGAAGACTGACTCCAACCCTTTCAGGTAAAAAACACCCTTACAAGTCATATTTCATACTGATATGTCTATAATGACTTTGTGCTTCAGCATAGAGTGAGTTTTAGGCCTGGGTGATATGATGACAATATATAACGATGATGCAAGTGATCCTCTGGATTTAGATGTAATTATAGTGTATGTATAGTGTTGTCTAGCACATATATCAATGCCAAAGTGACTCTGGAGCATGTCTGAGCATTTTAAATTAAAAAAAATTTAAATATCGGTTGGTTTTGTTCTAATTAGAGACTTCAATATCTGTTGTTTTTGTTCTATTAAAAGACTTAAACATTGGTCAGTTTTGTTCGAATTAAAGATTTAAATATCGGTTGGTTTTGTTCTAATTAGAGATTTAAATATCTGTAGTTTTTGTTCTATTAAAACACTTAAACATTGGTCAGTTTGGTTCGAATTAAAGATTTAAATATCGGTTGGTTTTGTTTTAATTAGAGATTGAACAGATGGTCTGTTTTGTTCTGTTAAGAGATTTAAATATTGGTAATATTGGTTTTAATAAGAATTAAGTATCAGTTGGATTTGTTTTATTAAGATATTTAAATATTGGTAATTTCTGTTTTAATTAGAGATTTAAATATTGGTTAGTTTTGTTTTATTAAGAAATTTAAATATTGGTCAGTTTTGTTTTATTAAGAATTAAATATTGGTCATTTTGCTTTTAATAGGGATTTAAATGTTGGCTGGTTTTGTTTTATTAAGATAATTAAATATTGGTCATTTTGGTTTTAATAAGAGATTTAAGTATCGGTTGGATTTGTTTGATTAAGATAATTAAATATTGGTAATTTCTGTTTTAGAGACTTAAATATCGGTTGGTTCTATTCTATTAAGATATTTAAATAGGAGTTGGTTTTGTTCTAATTACAGATTTAAATATGGGTTCTTGTTCTATTAAGAAACTTACTTAATATTACTTGCTTTTGTTTTATTTAGAGATTTTATTATTATCAAAAAGTATTAATGTAAATATGATCGGTTGTTGCAGATAAAAAGTGTGTGAAAAGTCTGGCACACGAATGAGCTTTGTAAAGTATTTAAGCGACTTAGATAATGGTCAGTTTTATTCTAAGCAAGCAAAAGTAAGCAATTCTTAAAAAGCATCAGTGACGATACGTTTGTGAAAAAACAGCTGGTTGTCAAAGAAATACGTACTTCAACAGCTGATTTTTGATTTCAAATTTGGACCAAAAAAATTAAATTATGCCACCTGCATTGCATTCTTTCCACTGAGATGACAATGCATTATGGGATTTCCCAAAAGATGCATGCTATGCTGCCTTAGAGTTAGAAGAACGTATCTAATAAGGTCTAACTTTAGAAACACGCATGCAGCTCAAGTTTATTTATCAAGACTGCATTATGTGTGTTGCAGACGGTCAGCAATGCAATTTTCAAGGATGGAAAGTCATGCATATGGAATATGAATGTGCAACACATTCCTGCATGAGGAGTGACACCTGTGAAAACCTACAAACCCGAGGAATTCCCGTGTTCAGCAGCGAGACATCCTGCTAACGCAGCACTCCACCCTGAGCGGGAAACGACTAGAAAAACAACAGTTAGTGCAGTGAAGTTCAAAACCTCAGCATCTCTTATTAGTCGTGCAGTTTATTGTTGTTGTTGTTTTAAAGCATGGCATTCTGGGTGTTCTGCAGAAGTGTGAGGAACACCATTGGTCTGTTTGAGGCTGGTAACGTTACAGGAAGTGGCCGTTAAAGATGATGGAGGTGTGGGAGCTGTCAGCGGCTCTGTGGAGGGTTTATGGGACATGTAGAAGAACGCTTTCTAGGGAAGTTCCTACATAGCACTCTTAGGCATCAAAATTTCCCTAGCAAACTCTAAGGCAGCATCACATGTATCTGTTATGGATAAAGCAATACCAGAATGCATTGCAACAAGCTCGTCTGCATTTTTTAAAATTTTTAAATAGGAAAATACATACATATACAGTGGGGCAAAAAAGTATTTAGTCAGCCACCAATTGTGCAAGTTCTCCCACTTAAAAAGATGAGAGAGGCCTGTAATTTTCATCATAGGTATACCTCAACTATGAGAGACAAAATGAGAAAAAAAAA